CAGGTCTCCCCATTGTAAATTTCATCCTTTAAGAGTAGGGTAGTTGAGAAACTGAAGAATCTCACTCATATCTTAGGAGGTACACAGAAAAGGAGGCTGGAAAGAGAGGGGCCAACTGGTCAGGAATTCCTGCCTCACTGCCTACACGCCAGGCTCTGCACCAATTATAATTTTGATCACTCTGCTATGCCACACTCCTGTACAAGTTAGGAGTTTGCTTGCCTTTGGTCCATTGCTAGCCTCCAGCCATCCAAAGTAATGCACTCATTCACCTCAACCCTGAAGAATAAGGGGGTGGGGGAGTGGGAAAGGCTTACTCTTGACCATTTTAAGATTAAAATGCCTCCTGTTCTGTGGGGTAACCTAGTCCCAAGATCTACAGCCAGGTCCTCAGTTGTCTGCAGCATACTGGAAGTTCCTTGGCAGACACGTAATTTCAGAAATTGATGTTCAAGTGAATGAACATGATCTTGCCTTATTCTTTATTGCACAATTTTATGAAAGCTAAGTACCAGCTGTAATACTCACTTTTACTGAGACATAGCATGTATCTTGAATGGCAAAATAACTTTTTAAATGAAGATTTACTCTGCAAAAGTGGCTTCATATTAGTTTGAAGGAAAAAAAAGGAAGACCAGTTACTTAAAGACAGAGGAGCAATAACCACATATTGCAGGACTTATTGAAAATTACTAGAATCAGTATTATGTTGACTAAAAACCACAACTTTCCAATAAGTTCACCACTGAACAACAAGAATGCTGCTTGTCCAGATTCTTAAGAATGTGTTCCTAAATAAATGAACAAGAAGTATGCTACAGTGAGACACCGTAAAAATCTATTAAAATGCTGCAGCTTTCCACAGCTTTAGCAACCTGTTTCCCCATTTACGTCGCTGCCCCTTTCTCCCCTTACAGAGAGGGAAGGTGGTGTAGCCTCACAGAGAAAAAAAAAAAATTAAAAAAAAAAAATAGCAAAGGTGAAAGCATAATGTCAAATAGAAAATAGGAGTCATACAAACACAAAAGGCACAAGAATTCCTCCCCAGGGGCATGCATAATTCCTCCCCAACTGTTTTTCTTCCAATTTGCACCTTAACCCACTAAGTGAGTTGGGATGTGAATACAGAATTGCTAAACATAAAACAGTTTTTGTAAACTGGACCTGACTCAAATCATGTTACATGTCCAAGCAGGGGAAGGAAGCCTCCTGAGTAATTAGAAAACATACCAAGAGACTACAAGTCTGGCTCTAGGTCAATCATGATTAGCTGTTGTCTCCTGTGCGGCCCCCCACATTAACTACGCAATTCAAGGTTTGCTACATTGTTTTACCAAAGGAATTTTATACTAAAGCCTCAAAACATTTTAATTATTTTCAAGAATGGATAAAGACATGAGTGTCTAAGCATAATAGCTTCCAGCTTTGTTTTAAATTCAGTGTAGTGGGCAGTGAAACAATACAATGCTTTGGCTTTCCAAGTAACTTCTAAGCTGGAATGTATCTCAACCTCCTATGTGTAATTCAGAGGATACACAGTGTACTCATGGGGGAATTCCATGCACAATATTTTAAAACTGCATTTTGTCAATAAATGTGGAGGCTCCAGCGGGACAATGGAAAGCACAGACCACTGGCTGCAGAGGTGAGAGATCACCCTGCAGCTCCGCCATGGTGACTCTGAGGCTGCACCTGAGCCTGATACAGTGCAATGGCTGGCCCTGCCCCAGAAACACCACAGGGCCCTGCCCCTCCACACCAAGCGCACCAGGATAGCAAGGGAGTCTCTTGCATGCATGCCCAGCCCTGACCCGATCCAGGGGTAGGGCAAATAGGCTCAGCCTGGCAGGATCCATGTGTGGAGGAAACCAGGGCTGGGGCAATCTGGGTGCAGGCAATCTGGATGCACAAAGGCTCATTGGGGATTCCGGATGCAGGGGGCCCAGGTGAAGATGGTTGGAGATCAGCAGAGAGTCTCAGCAGGAGAGTGTGGGTGATAGGGATTGGTGGGATGGGGGGGTCCAAGCACCAGGAGGGGGGAGGGAAACTCAACAGAAGCCCAGATGCAGGGGGTGGAGCCAGATGGGGTAGTATGGGTACAAGGGGACTCTGGATACAGAGGTTGAGGCTCAGCAGAGGGTGGGGGGTCCTGGATGCACAAGGGTTGCACCTCCCCATATAGACTCCTCCCCCTGCAGCTGAGGAACAACGGGGACAGGAATTGAGATGGGGGTGGGAAGAAGAGGGTGTGTGCGCAGAGCTTTATGATGCTGAGGGAGGTTTCCGAGGCTGGGGCTGACCTGGCCCCAGCCCCTCCTCGCAAGGGAAGAGGAAGTCCCATCCAGGACTAGCAGCTGAGCCCAGGACAGGGGAGGAGCCACCAGCTGGGGAATCCCCAGCCCCGCAGTGCTTTCTCTCTCCACTGGCTGCTCTGGGCGCCTGAAACAATACCCCTGGTTGCTGGGGAGGGGTCATGTGACAGTTCTTGCAGCTTCCTTTTGCTTCCCCATCAGAAAGTAATTTTTCCTGCAGGGAAGCAGAGAGATCTACAGGGGACATGAATTCTGTGTGCACACAGTGGCACAGAATTCCCCCAGATGTAATATTAGACACAGAAAGCAAAAAGAGAGTCATCTTGGGTTTTGGTAGATAACAGTTTTGCATTGCATCTTACATGCTAAATGCAAAGCTGTTCCTAAATAGGACAGCTATTGTTTAACAAGTTTTGACTAATCTGAATTGTCTTAAGCAATTAGTTTTCAAAGACAATTAGAAGAAACTCTCTCGTACAGGGTGATAAAAATTGCAGCCAATAAACTACTTACTTAGAAAAATAAGTTTGTCCAAAATCAAAAGCAGCTTCTTGAATGTGTCATGCTGTTTCTCCCAGCAGAGAAAAAGTACATGTGGGTGAATTACTCAGATATGCAAATTATATCAATATGGTTGTCAAATTCTTTTCATCTCCCTCAAAATGAAATGTATGTTTTCAAAAGGCTTAACTTAGCTGTATATAAACAGTGTTGTTATCAACACACATTAAGTTTATTAATCATTACACTAGAACTACTTTGGTATAAAATATTTTATTTTAAAGCTATGAAAATTATTTTAAAAATATATATTTAATGTTTCTATTCACAGAACATTTGCTATTTCATAACATTAGTGATCTGCTTTTCCTAGCCCGCCTGAATTTTATTCAAAAGATTTACAGACAGTTATTACTATCATTTTATATTTTTAAAAACCCCAGCATTACAGGACGCTGTACTAATGGAGATGTTTTATTTTCAGGATTCATTTAACCTATAGATTTTTAATGAAGCCAGAAAAAGCAATTATTTTCTGATGATTCAGAATTTCTTATTTCTTGAAGCATGTCTGTGGTTGACCACTTCTTCATTTGTTACCTGCAGCATGGCACCTTCCTGCCAAAGGAAAACAAAAATAAAGTGTATCTGAAGAGGTTTATCATGTATGTCTATCCATATTACCTATGGAAGAACTTCAGCAGTTTCAAAAATTATAAACAATTCATTAGTGTGCAGAACACAAAAGGAATACACCTTTGATTAGTTGTATACCTGTTCTTTAGGTGTGCAGCCTGTTTCAAGCAAGGAAACCAATACAAAAAATAAACTAGGGGCTATATTTTACCAATTTACACATGCTGAGTAGCATGATATCATGTAAAATCTTTCTGATTTCAATGAAAAGAGTGTAAGGGTGACAGAATCTGGCACTAAGATTTATTAGCTGTAAGAACTAGAAGAGACAGTGGAAACCTCAGTATCCTAGCCAAATTCCAATTTAGGTAATAACATTCTGCATATATATAAAATTCCACCTGTAGTCACAATTGAAGAAGTTTTCACTTGCCCTCCTAAAGAAATACTATGCAGCATTAAAGAAGAATGGATGTCATATTCCTTACTAGAGGTAGATGCATTTCAGTAGTGAAGAAAATTCTCTATTATATAAACAAACAAACAATCTAAAGTTACTTGGGATCCTTCAGGGTGCAATGTGCCACATAAAATACTGAAGCCAGAATAGACAGATGCAGTACATTTCACTTCCAACAGCGTAACACTATTGTACAGCTACTCTATCTTCATTGCACTTGTAACCATCAAAATCCCAAGAAAAATAAAAGGTTGCAAAGTGTAAAGAAAGTTTTATAATTTAATTAACTTGTGACCTACCATTTTAACTACCAACACCGGGTATGGAACCCTTGCAAAACTTTACTAATGGACACTTGCAGGTCTCATTTGTTCAACTGTAGCAGTGTACAGTAGCAGCAGTCTATGCTTGTCGATGGCTCATATCAAAGCTAGATTCCAGTAGGAAAAAAATATGTTAAGTAGCTGAAATTTAAAATAACATGATGTCAAAATTTAATACAAGAAAAAAAAAGAAGGGATTCACAACATTCTCTTCAGTTGGTAATGGTTAACTCAATTCATTGCTATGTTAAACTACATATGATAACCACTATACTGAAAGAGACTGTCATAGTATTAGTTTCTTGTTTTTGGAACATTAAGAAAGGAAAAGTAAATAAGATCTTACCTAAAGAAGTTTAACTGAAGCTTAGAACTATTTTGCTCTACACCCTCAGCCTTCGTTGGCATCCTTATAAAACTACGGTAGTTAAAGCTTTGCAGAAATACAGCGCAGCTTTTTAAGACTGGCTGAACTTAGTGCCGTTTTCAAGAGTTCTCTTGTACTAGACCTGTGTCCCTGGAAGAGTACCTCGCTGGGGATATTTCCTTTCCTTGCCATTGAAGAAGCAGCATCTAAAAGATCTAAAAAGGTGTTTCTCCTTGCAGAGATATCCCTTAAGTTATCTAGATATTTTAAACCTGATAATTTACAGACAACATACTTTTTCTGACCAGCATTTAATTTTACATGTACAACAACAGCTTTGTATTATTTGTGGGACCTTATACTACCCACTCCTTGCCTTATTTTACAATATTTTCTTTTTTAAAAAAAAATCTATAATTACACAGTATTTCCTTTAGAATTATTTTATTAAATCAAATGTACAACAGCTTCTTAACTCTACACACGCACTTAAATTTTTTAAAAGGAAAACGTTATGTCTTATTACACCATGATCCTGGCTAATAGTTTTTCAAAACTTTGAGAAAAATCTTAAAAAAGGTTTCACATGTCACCTGAAACTTACAAATTTAACATTATCAAAGGAATGCTTCTACACTCTTACAAAGACCACTAGAAAGAAACAACAATTAAAAAGCTAAGAAACTGTCTCAAAGGCATTTTTACAATCCTTCCTCCACAGTAAGGTAATGTTATTAAATAATCCAATCCATTCACAAAATGGCTCTCTGCATCTGCTCTGGTGTCTTCTGCCATATCACTGCATATTTATGCATGACTGAGTAAGTGTTTCCTTAACATTGTTATTTCGATAACCTGAAGCTGTTCTGTTACCTCTGGGCTCTCATCCTCTCCTATTTATACAGTGAAGCCTGTTTCAACAGAAGTAAAGAGTAAAAAATAGGTTATGAAATTATCCATCTAATGAATTTTTAAAGGAAAGATAATATGATCCTAAAAAGCTTTTACTCCTGCAGCTAAGTCTCAAGAAACACTGCAATTTTAGCACTTATAAAAATACTTACCCATGGCAAGTTTGCAGAAGCTCAGTAACGGCTCCTCCCTCCATATCCACCACTTCCTCCACTGCCTCCTGGACCATAGTTTCCTGCATTTTTGGAATAACAGGATAGAGGACATTTACATCTTTATTTTTTAAACCCAGGCACATTTACTGTATATTTACAAGAAGATTATATTCAGTTTAATTCAAGAGGACAATGTGCACATCACCTTGAATATAAAGCTAACATGTAATTGTCCTCTATGACAGATTATCCCCCAAGAACTGCCATGATAATCACATTTTGAAAACAGAACACAAGATTCTTGCAGCAAGAGAAATTCCAATGGTTTAAATATATAATCAAATAAGGAAATTCATGCTGCACACTCTTGGGGCCTGATCCTGCAACATGTATTATGTGAGTACATCAGTCCACCCACACACTACACCTTAAAGAAAACTGGTCTGAAGTAAATTTCCCTTTGTGTGCTTTGCACATGTAAAGCATTACAACTTAGAAGCTGCTGACCAAAAAGAAAAAAGGCAGAAATATTATAATGACCCTAATATGGGAGAGAGAAAGAACAAAAAGTTTAGCGGAGAGTAGTGAGTCGGTGGTAATTACTTCTAGAGTAAATAATTTGTTCACATCGCTCTGACTAATGCTAAGGGATGTAAGGAGGCTTATTTGGAAAAAAAAAAAAAAATTAACCCATTGCCAAAACTAATTATTGTCTGACTGATATCCCTATGACATTTACCAACACTAAAATTTGGGAGGGGCACGGAAGTAGTGATATTACATCATATATCATATTTTACAAACAAACAGACTTAATGGGCATGAACTTAGTATCCCAAAACTAACTCTATATTGACCAGACCACTGAGAGCTCATACCTGACCCAAGTACAATCTGGTAAACAAAACTATTAGTAAACATACATACATATTTAAAAAACAAAACAAAAAAAACCCCTAACTGTTCCTGCTTTGAGAAAACTGGTCTTCACACCAAATAGTGATCTTGCTGTTTGAAATCATCATACTGTTTTAATGCTGATAATTTATTTTTCTTTTGGGCGCACTCACAGATAACCACTACCACTCTTTGCACTATTGTTTACTAGCTCTAAAATTCTGCTGGCAAGTGGGATTTACAAAAGTCTATGCAGCAATTCTCTACACAGGTTAACTGGTTCGTGTCCCCTGGTCTCTACAAAGGATCAAAGGCCACTGAAAAGTTGGTCCCAATTCAACCCATGACATATACAATACCTCCACCATATGGTCCCCCCATGTTCCTGCTACCACCAAAATTTCCACTCTTCATTGGACCATAGTTTGAGGGCTGTTGGTTATAGTTTCCAAAATCATTGTAGTTTCCACTTCCATAATTGCCTATGTTATTGACACAAAAAGAGCTAAATGTAAGAATTATTTCTCTGTGTTATTACAAACCTAACAAATCAAGACAAAAAAAAAAAAAAAAAAAAAAAAAAAAAAAAAAAAAAAAAAAAAAAAGGTAAGAAGAGGAATGTCTTTCACTAAAGTCAATTATTTTTCCTCACTGACCATAGAAAATGTCATACTGGTTTTGACAACACTTATGAAGTAAAATGTTCTCAAGTCAATAATCTTGCTCAGGCTAGTCCAAAACTAAACTTTCAGTTAAATGTTTTAAGCAAATGTATTACCTCCTCCATAGTTGTCATAACCACCTCCGTAGCCCCCACCCTGGTTGCCATATCCAGGTCCTCCACCACCATATCCTCCTCTTCCTCCTCCATAACCAGGACTACCTCCAAAATTGCCACCTATTATGAAATAAGCCTTTAAATAGTAACTTTACATTATAAATGTCAGTTGTACTATTCCTCAGATCACACAGTGTTCTGCTAAGACTAAGATTTTAGTTTTCTTCAGCATCAGTCTACTGAAGGACAAGAAGGCCAACAGGAAGCTTTGAAGGGCGATGTCTACAAATAGACATTTTTAAAGCTATATACTCTCCCTTAACTGTTTAGTCTGACTACAGTTTTTGCCTAAGGATTAAAACAAAAATGTTACCAATGCATGATATTTAGATCTAAAGAGACAGGTTTTTCTTTACATAAATCCTGAATTTTTCAGAAAGCTGATTAGTTTAGGAAAGCACTGCTGAGCAACACTGAGCTGCAGTTAATGCTACATTTTTGAGTCTCTAAAAAGTCACTTTCTTTACCAGTTCTTTTGACAGACTTTCTGCACAAAGTCATAAAGGAACACAAAACGTTAGTATAGAAAGGAAAAACTCAGTGCAAGACATGATTTTTTACTAGAGTGAAGGGGCTTTGAGAGTGTGGTTCAGGCATGGGGGAGGAAATTGTACATAAGCATGAGCCATCAGGATGAACTAATTACTTTGAGTAGTGTGGCAAAATACTTCCAAATGAGAAACATGGATTTGAATGCAAGAAGGCCTTAGGGAAAACAACCAGACTGGTTATGCTTGCATATATTTATCAGCAAGTGCAGGTCTTTAGGTGTAGCATAATCTAGCACTGGCGTGAGATAGCCAAAAATAGGGCTGAAAAAGAAAACGAGAAAAACTGCAGATAGAAATCAGGTTTTCAGGGGCAGGAGACGACGGACATATGGCAAACCACACAGTTAAAGACCAAGGATTAAAACTAATCAGCAGTTATTTATTGTTCTTGAACCAGATCAATATGGCTCTACTGCTTAAGATGATTAGTAACAGAAAATACAAAAACCCACTAGTCTACACTAACCTCCTGGTCCTCCACCATATCCATTGTATCCATCACCAAATCCACGACCACTTCCATATCCATCTGTTGGAAATAAGTATTTGTTTTAGTTCATCTGTACGGAACTAGAAAAAAAGTTTACTCTTAATAGTGAGCTGGAATTTTTAAAAATACATAAAGATGCTTTAAATTTTTAAAATTGAGATGACAAATTATAGTTATTTTTAAAAAACCTCACAAAAACCAGTTTATTTTTAAACCTACAAATACAAGCAGATGCTGTGTGTATGACCCTTTCAAAAACTGGTGTCACAAATACCATATTTGAGATCAACTCTTGCAGGAGAAACATAATACCCTAAACACAGATCATGAAATTTCAACCATTATAAACTGCTGTATTCATCTGATATACAAATTTCAAAATGTTACAGTAGTTTTCAAACTGTGACTAACCTTCTCTAAGGATAAATAAAATCATTTTGGGGACTGGTATTTCTAGTACTTATTTTCAGCCCCCCCGCCTGGGGGAGAAAAAAAAAAAAAAAAAAAAGACCCACAGCCATTTCTACGGGGTATATATGAGAAAAGTATAATGGACTTGGATAATTTGAATTTAAAACCTCAGACATATGCACCCTAAACCAAGAAATACGCATCTGTCAGAAACAAGGCAGACAACCATCACCTTAAATAAGCATCTTCTCTTAAAGAAGAGTTGCATTTCTGGACTTGAACTGAAGATTGGCAACCAGGAAGCTGCTACCTTGACAATTATTTATACTTAAAAGCCCGCTCTAAAATTGTAATAATTTACGCTAGCAATGTTATATTACTTTGTATACAGTCTCTAAAATGGACCAGGTCACAGTGCTTCTTTGTATTATGTGAACTAACATCTCAAAAACACTGACTTCATACATTTATACTGATTCGTTTCCATTTTGTTATTTCTAATCTCAAATGTTAGTACTGTCATATTAAGAGGTTTGTTATTAGTCTTTTCTAAAAGAAGATTTTGTTGCCAATACTGCAGTAGATGGTAGTAACCTACAGAGCAAACTGAAATCCAAAAAACACATAAGCCTGATAGCCTTACCAGATCCACCTCTGAAGTTGCTTCCTGGTCCTGGACCAAAGTTGCCACCACCTCCACGCGAATCCCCAAAGCCGAAGTTACCTAGGATGATTTTAGATTCCTGTTAAGTATGTATTATAGGAAAACTAAACCTAAGAGCATAAAGTGAAACTCAAATACCTCCTCTTCCACTCCGAGAACTTTGAACTTCTTGCATTTCTTGTCTAGATAAAGCTTTTCTTACTTCTGCATTATGGCCATTGATGGTGTGGTATTTCTGCACTGTAAATCATAAAAATTTAAGAAATTACATGCAGTAAAAGTTGCTTCTAGAGTTTAACTCAGGAATGGCTAAATTGCCAAACAAAATAATTTTTCCTCCTCACATTTTTGCAATACCAATTCCAATCATCCAGAAGTCTAAGTTATAAAGATGACAGGATAATTTCAGGTAGTATTATTGCATGCTCCATCAAATTTATTAATGGAAGATTCAAAACTAAGGCCTTGTTCCTACAAACATTTATGCATGTAAGTAATCCAATTAAATTTAAAAACTTACTCACATGCTTAAGTGTTATCTATATCAGGTCCTTAAGTAGCAATATTGTAAGATGAAATTGTGGAATGAAGTTTACTTACATACAATTTTATCCACAGGATCATGGTCATCAAACGTAACAAAGCCAAAACCTCTCTTTTTACCAGATTGTCTATCTGTAATTATTTCAATAGTGTCAATTTTCCCATATTCCTCAAAGTAGTCTCGAAGGTGGTGTTCCTCAGTATCTTCCTTAATTCCACCAACAAACAGCTTTTTCACAGTAACATGAGCACCTGGTTTTCCAGATTCCTTGAAAGAATTAAAATTTTTTTTCAGAACTACTAAGGTAGTGGAAGAGAGAGTTTTGCATATGGACTCTATCATGATCTTAAAGACAGTTAACTTAAAATCTAATCAATTTTAAGAAGTGAATTTACAGTGTTTTCAGGTAAACCATATTATCTGGAATGCCTGTGCCATTTTTTTAATTTTACAATCATTTTGCTATTTTTTTAAAGCAACTACCTCTGGTTGCTATGTGAAAAGCTCTAAACAAGCAAGAGGGGAACAGACTATGCTGCAGAAAGAATGAAAATGATTATACATTAAGTGTAATCAAAAGTACAAAGTTAAAATATATATATATATATAATTTTTTTTTTTTTTTATAAAACTGAAATATTAGGAGAAATCTCACATTTACTTGCAAGAATAGTAAGTAACAAATTTTCAGGCAGAACTGTGATCTATAAACTGACTAGGTCCTTTTCATTTTAACCAATTGTATTCAAATTCCAGACAACTTCATTTAATTTGTCTGCCTATCTTTTAAATAACAGATAACTTTAGGTGAAATCCTGGCCCCACTGAAGTCACTAGCAAAACTCCCATTGTCTTCAATGGTGCCAAAATCTCATCCTTGATCTCTAGTCCCAAAAAGAACAGCTCCCCAAATGCTTCTTCTTTGACTAGGATATCCAACCTAAAACAGTAGGGATTAAAAGGTAGGGACTTTTGATATTTAAGGCCCAACCAATGGCGTAGTCACTCAACCTAAAAAGCTGAAATGCCTTCTGTCAATCAAGTCCTAAATTCAAACTGGCAGAAGTCAACCTCTGCATGTGTACTGCTGTAAAGCATTTAAAAATGGTAAGATAAAGAAGAAAGGAAAAGGAAAAAGGCATGTGCCCATAACCAGAGCCTCTTCATTATAAGAAAAAGTAAGCACTGAAATGTCTATCGGCAAGAATAAGCTAGTTTCTCACCAAATCAGAGACAATCTTCATAACGTAAAAAGCCTCTTTGCTTTTCAGTACTTTGCTCACCTCTCTGGCTACTGCTCGTTTTGGCTCAACTACCCTTCCATCAATTGAGTGAGGTCTTGCAGCCATGGCTGCATCAACTTCGGCCATGGAGGAGAATGTTACAAAACCAAATCCTCTCGATCGTTTGCTTGCAGGATCCCTCATCACCTGCAAAGAAGTCAGGAAGTTTTATTATTCCACTATTAAGTTTTCATACTACCGCTACAGCTAAGTATAAGTAAGGTCCTTAATTTTCTATTATTTGTTTTTTAATCGATTTTCACCTAAATTTTGGACCACTCAAGTACATGAAAATACTGATTACGTTAAGAAAATGCAATACATTACATTAGGGAGATGTGTTACTAATAAGTTAGTCTAAGGGTAGGTCTACTCTACAGGGGCACAGCTATGGTGCTATAGCTATGCCACTATAGCAGTGCCTTAGTGCAGATACTTCCTACATCAACCAAAGGGTTTTTCCCATCTATGCTGTTAATACATCTCTCCGAAAAGGGGTAGCTAGGCTGATGAAAGAATTCTTCCATTGACCTACCTTCATCTACAGTGGAGGTTAGGTCAATGTTTCACAGGGCGCAAAATTTCACATACCCTAAGCGATATAGTTAAGTCGTCTAATTTTTACATGTACACCAGGCCTACGTGTAAATGTGAAGCTGTCTGTTAAAGTACGGCAACATAGTGGAAGATTAACACATGCGCGCGTGTGTTTTCAAGTTTTTTAAAATCCTAAAAAAAAAAAAAAAAAAAAGCCAGAACCTTCCGGCTCCGGCAACCTGCTCCAAATGGAAACTAAACCTGCTTTTACTTTAAATACTCGTATGTGTCTCTATTTGTTCCCTTTTTTTCCCCTCTTGTCCTCCTATCCTGCAAAGTTAACCCAAAAAACTGAAGTTAGGGAGTAAAAATTGGTGCAAAAAAACTTATTTTTGTAATGATCACCACCAGATTTCTGGGAAATTTAAAACAAAATAAAAACCAAAAGTAATGGACCGTGAGCATAAGTCTTCATATCTTTAATTTAGATTTTCTTTGCTTTCTACGCAAAAGCAGGTGTTTGAACCCAATTACCCATACTGATTAAATTAAGTATTTGCATTGTATAATTCTGCATTACAGAAGTGAAAACTTGTCTTTACCCTCCATCATGCATATTGTTCATGAAATTGTTGACTTCAACTGCAATTTATACATAAAGCTTTTTAAAGATTTCACATACAGGAATCAACTAGATGCTTCCATTTGCCTTCTTATACTTCAGAAAATGGCAAGCAATTTTTACAAAGTTGTAAAGTCCACATTATCAGCATACATTAGCACATGCAACTTACCACACAGTCTGTAAGTTTCCCCCATTGCTCATAGTAGTTTCTCAAACTTTCTTCTGTTGTTTCAAAGCTCAAGCCACCAATGAACAGTTTGCGAAACTGCTCCTTTTCTCTCTAATTTAGAGAATATAGTATTAATGTCATTTGCAATTCTCCCATAGTACTGAGAAAACAGTCTGACATTAGACATGTTCACAAATGTCAATGAATACTCATTTTCAACAAAAGATTGTGATTATTTGAAGTTGTATTATTGCCATTCAATACAGACCCATATATTATAAAGGTAGCGCTTGACAATTTCACAGTTTTTTTAAAATTACCTTCCTTCGCCTCAGAAATATATTAAAAATGAAAATTAGGTTTTAAGTACTTAGAACTGGAGAAGTGCCCTCTGAAACACCATCAAGTTTTCCTTCCTGCAATAGCATCTTCTTTAAAAAACCCATAGATTATAATTGATGAGCTGTGTTCTCTTTACAGTAACTCCTCACTTAACATAGTTATGTTCTTGAAAAACGCAACTTTAAGTGAAACAATGTTAAGCGAATCCAATTTCCCCATAAGAATTAATGTAAATGAGGGGGTTAGGTTCCAGGGTGTGTGTCTGTGTGTGTCGCCTTTGTACGCTGACCCTACTCTTAAGTACAATGTCTTATGAATTAGATTAGCTTGCTGAGACCACAGCTGCTGCCAGCAAGCTCTCTCCCTCCTGAGCCCTGTCGTGTGTCCTCCCTGCTCTATGAAGATGGGGTAAGCGGGGTGCAGCAGGGGGACACACTGACATTAGCCCCTCTCTTCCCCTCCCCCCTGCATAGCAAGCAGGAGTCTTGGGGAGAAGCTCCAAGGCGGAGGACAGGAGCAGCACATGGCAATGGGGGGAGGGACAGCTGAACTGGCGGCAATTGATAGCCTGCTGGGCAGCTGCTGCACATGGAACTTAGGGGAGCTGATAGGGGGACTGCCGGTCCACCCTGGTTCCAAGCCCCCACCAGCTAGTTGCAACAGGCTGCTCTTCCCCAAGCAGTGGACAAAGCAGGCGGCTGCCAAAGGACGTTAGAAGGGAGCACTGCACAACTTTAAAGGAGCATGTTCCCTAATTGATCAGCAACGTAACCTGGATGACTTTAAGTGAGGAGTTACTCTACTAGATCAGATCAGAAGATACCAATTTATGTTGTTCATTCCAAAATGCAGGCTATTTCATTTTTAAATATAAAATAAAGTGTTTGTGCTCAAATTGATGTTCACCAATACAAACCAGAAAAGGAGAAACAAGCTTCTAGATGAGGCACACAAAAAAGGGGAGTGGGGGTGATTCTTTTTTAATAAAATAAAAACGTATAGGCTCATACACCAAAAACCTTAAGCTATTAAATAAATATTTCATCAATTCATTCACATGTGGAGAATTAAAGCTCTCATGAGGTGCATATTAAGGAGCTATGGGAGTTTTGCCATTGACTTCAATACGAGTAGGATCAGGCCCCAACTGGGAAGCAGCTTACCATTTCTTTCCTCATTTTATCTGAAGTGCGGCTATTTTCGAGTAAGATATGGGGGCTGTTTTCTAGGGAAATTATGTGAAGGCAAACAGATTTTATGTTTTGCAGTTCTAAGCAGCAGTAAGCGGTCATACAATATACTTTTAAAAAAACTAAACTATTGAAAAGCAGGTAAAATAAAGATCTAGCTTTTAGAAAGGCAAATTTACCTTTTGCTAGTCAGGTGATTAAGGCCATCAGAAAACTAAGATATGTACCAGGAGTGGCCAAACCAAGGGTTGCAAGCTTCATGCAGGCTCTTTTGCACTAAGGGTAGCTCTCTGAGCCCCACCCATCTCCCACCTACCAGACTAGGGCTTCAGCCCTGCAGGAAACACATGCTGAGGCTCAAGGCTTCAGTAGGAGTGGGGTTCAGGCAGGTGCGCCAGGAAACACATGCTGAGGCTCAGGGCTTCAGTAGGAGTGGGGTTCAGGTAGGTGCGCCTGGCTCTCAAACTTCTGAAAATTATAGTATGTGGCTTGGAGGGTCCGTAAGTTTGGCCATCCCTGGTATATAGTATATTAAACATTTTAGGATACTGAAGCAGCAATATATAAAGAGGAGGAATAAAAGCAATTTATCTTAAAATGGCCAACAGCTGAAGTTTATTGAATCAGGTACAATTTTCACTGTATGCACTATGTCTAGCATGATGGTACCATGATCCTGACTGAGGTGTTAAGATGCTACCATAATACATAAATACACAATAACCAAAGTTATGAAGAGCTCAATTAACAGCTGAAGAGTTTATTATGAAACTGGAGAAGAATCACTACCTTGGAAAGGAAGCAACTATTAGCACAATTAGAAATTTCAAGGTCAGTAAAAGTTTCCAGAGCAGTTTACACCATCAAAAAGATGGAATGAATGCCTTGTTGCATCTGTTTGCCCCGATATTGGATACTTAATTATTCCCTCGCAAAATTCTGCTTACCCACTCACTTGGGTAAGTAATTTTGAAAGGCTAGCTCCTTTTTCCTTTAGAATCATCGTGTTTGGGATGAAGAGACATTTACTAATGATAAATTTTGGGAATACCGATAAATTTTAGTGGGTTACTTTTCAAGTCTTCAAAAACATGTCTCTCTCGCTCTCTCTCTCTCTCTTTTTTTTTTAAAGTATTGGCTTGGTCAAATTTGCTCCAATACAGAATTTGTAAAAACTGAGGTTTTACACACACACACACACACACACACTTCAATTTTTGGTTTATTTTAATGGAAATAACTTCAAAAAAATTCCTGCATATTTTATACCGCCAACACTGGAACATTGGACTAGGGTACAAGAATCTAATAATACTGACCAGAACCAGACTATTAACAAAAGTGTAGCTGGCTAATCTGTTTCACTATTCATGTTGAGAGAAAGAAAAGGTAGTCTAACAGGTAATCAAAAACTAACATTGAGCATTTGAAAAAATACTTAAGGCATTACACAAGATTTTTTTTTTTTTTAAATAGTTTTAAAAGCAGTATCCCCTTCAATTTATTTTCCAGTTGAATTTTCTCATTGACCAATATATGCTTCTTGATCTTGCCTAAAGACTTCCATAGTGTGCCCCAATAGCTGAAAGAAATTATTGGAGAAAGAATACCGAATCTGCTTTTGATATAGCTGCATATCCTGCTGCGCCTCTCAGGCTCTTCAGTCAGTAGGTAGGTTTGCAACAATGATGTAAAAAGTTTTACTGTTCAATTTTATCATTCTAGTTACTTTACTGCACTGCTGCAAAACAATCTGCAAAGCCTGAAGAAAGCAGCAGGCACACAGAGTCTTATCAAAAGCTGAGTCAGTACTAACCCCTATACAGACCCCAAAAATCCCGATTTTTTTTTTTTTAAAAAACACAATATTCTTCAAGTTGCTAACAACTGAAAGAGAAGGAATGGGAAGATAAAGGACCTGAATCTACCATTAGTCAATGGGAATATTTGGCCACTGCATGATGTTATGAGATATTTGCATAAACATTTTATTTTTCACAAAGCACACTCTCACCTCAAACTCTTAACTGGAGTGGGGGAAAGCAGAGTCAGTGTTTGGCAGAAATGGACTGCTAATGAAACTTAGATCAAATGGCTATCATTTGGCATGCAAGCAGAGTACCAAAGCAGGTATTTTTAAATTACATATACTGGCAACAGATGATCTTCAGAAAGTATTTCAAGCCCTGTAAATAATTATTACTATAATAAGCAGCATTGTTGTAGCCATTTTGGTCCTAGGATATTAGAGAGACAAGACAACAGAAGTTGGTCTAATAAGATAGTACCTCCCCCCACCTGGTCTACCTAGACTCTATGATATGAAACTTCTGGTGATCTGCAGAACACTTGGTAACTAGTTTCTTGCAAGACAGCTAAAAATATATATAATTTTGTAATATTTTCACAACACAAGCAATATGCTACTGAGACTCGAGGCAGCCAGCATGACCAGGAAGGAAAAAGGGGTAGCCCAGTAAACAGCCTAGTCCCCCTGTTAAATTGATGTTTGCACTAAGAAAGTTTGAGAACATTATATGCAAAGAACTGTTGGGGGGGGAGGGGGGGGGAGGAGGAAGCATCATGCTGTGACCTAAAATAAAGTAAGTTTCAGTGCTAAAGTTTTCATACTGTGACCGCACACTTCAGTTAAGGATTAGCTACAGAAATAATATTCTGAAGTTTGCCATTGGAGTCTCAACTTTTAATTACCATGTGGTACATCAAAAATAGCATGTCCCAAAGTACAGTACTGACTTGCTCAAGTACGTGACCCCATGCCATGCTCTGCCTTGGATGGCACATAGACTCTGAGTTTTGAGACTTTTAGGGAGTGAAGGGGGAAGGGCACAAAGATTACTCTGCTGACAGAAACACACTTTCCACTAGGAAGCTCTGTCAGCATAGCTACACTGATCTAACGTTTGTAGTGAAAAGCAAGGCCTAAGTGTCTCATATGGCAACTTAAAAGAAACCCTTCAGGTAAAATGAAATACCATCAATTAATTCCAAAGTTAACATTAATTGGTATAAAATACACATGACACAAACCATCTGATGGTTTTCCTACGTTCTATTATAATCTTGGTGAAAACTCTTATTTTTGTACAAAATTATAATAAAAGAATAGAGTATAAGCTGTCTTTAGAGCTTTCCATAATGCATCTTCCCCGCACTCGAACGACAGGTAAGATTTTGATGAGTAACTAGGAGTCTGCCCATTCTAGGAGATATTATGTCCCAAGACATGAGCGAATCTCCAAAGGGTGGGGAAATGTGGAACCTCTTTTTGAGAAGACAGCGTCCAATCACAAGGAATGTGTTTTATAGACCACCACCTACAGAGGCAGGGAACGAATGGCTCTAAACTGTTGCAAACTCGAGCAGGTTAAGACCATAATCAACAAAAATGGCGGCCGGCCCAGAGATAGGCGAGCGGGAGCTTCAGATCAGCATCCGAGAACTGCGTGCCCGCCAAAAAAAAGGGGCCCCGAAGGATGAGGCCCCTAAGGGATTGGGGGGGGGGGTGGTGCAGATTCCCCGGTTCCCCAACACCGCGCAGCCTCTACTCAAAAGGAGCTAGTCCTATTGACTCCACGAGTCCTCCTCAGCGTCCCCACCCAACGCGGCAGCAGGACTGGCGCCGCAGAGGCCTGAGAGCATCAAGCGCAAAGCGGCGGCCGCGCCGCGCCCGCCATGTGGCGGTGCCGGGAGACTGGGGCAGCCGCGAGGGGCCAGAGCAGGAAAATGGTTGCTGCTTTGGAGCCCGCGCCCGCTCTGGGGACAGCGATGCCGCAGAGGAGGAGAAAATCTTCTCTGGCCGGCCGCTAAGGGTCGGCTACGGCCGCTCCACCAGCCTCCCGCCCCCGGGAAGAGGGCCCCGGCTACCCCAGCCCCTCTCCCTCGGGCCGGAACAGAACTAACTACCACCCTTCTCAGCCAACCCACCTGCTCCAGACACCCCAACCCCTCCCGCCACGGAGAGATGCTGCTCCTCTCAGCACACCCGCTTCTCCCTACCCGCCACTCCTCTCAGTCGTTTCATGGCGGAGGTTCCCTGCCGCAGGGCCCGGCCGCCTTGCCTCCCCTCCCAGGCCCGGGACCATTCACACACCCCTCCCGCTGCCATTTTACCCCTCCCCCTCGTTACCGCCATTACCATCTGTGCCTCCCCGGCCTGATCCCGGCGTTTCGCAGGGCCAGAGAGAGAACCGGTTCGCTTACTGCCCTCCATGGTCACCCCTAGGGCGCACGCGGCTCGCTAGCGCAACGGGAGCTCGGTTAAACGGTCTGTCAGGCGGTTCTAGGACTCGCCTCCGCTTGCGCTGTTGCCGCAGCGTGTACCCCCGCCTCCCTGTGCTGCGCACCAGCCCAACGGCCGCCGGCGCTTCCAGAACCTTCCTCCCCTCTAACGTCTCTGCTACGGAAAACCACCAAGTCTCGCCCACTGCGCCACCATGCGCATCAACTAACGGGAAAGTTCCAACTACTAGACCTGCGCTAAAAGCGTACAGTTTTACGAATAAGTCTTTCATTACGTAAATGTACTAACTACTGCAAACCAAAACGCACCTTTCGCAGCTGTACAAGCCAAATTTGCACTATTTGCGTACCATACACCTCGTGGTCTACGTAACCCTGTTTGAGAATAGGACTCAACCTTTCTAGTAATGGCTGCCTTAACTGTTACGTATTTTTAAATGCATCGCCACGCAGTGGTCTGTCCCTCGCTCCCCTTCCCACTCATAACTGTATTCGGCTGTTTTGATCTCGAGTGGAATTAAGCACTCCCCGAGACGGCCCGCAGTTCTGCGGAACGCTTCTTTGTGTTTCAATAGCATAGTAAAAATTCAGCAACTCCATTAGCAATGGCTCTCTCCGGAAAGAGCCGAAACAGGCGTCGTCGTGGACCTACTCCACTTCGGCACTGCCCGGAAAAAAACGAACTAGCACGGACTGTGATTCGATCCACTTCGACAGTTTCCGGAAAGAGCCGAAACAGGAATCATCACCTAAAATGGCCTCTTCGGCAATTTCCGGCAAAAAAGCCGGAAAGCCTGTCGTGTCCGAGCACAGCCGAAGCTGCTCGGCTCGGAGGCTGCTCCCGCTTCGGGGGGTTTTCCGGAAATTGCCGAAGCTGCCCAGAGACTGATCCTCGCAGCAAAAGAGATATAATTAGCCAAAGGCCCCCTTTTCCCCACCTGTGGTGCAGGCAGGGACCAGTGGGGCAAACCCGGAGCGCGGTGAGTGCGCGCCCCCGAGTTCTCCTTTGTTGGCGGGCTGGTCCCTTTGCCTCGGGCCGCCTGGGAGGAAGTGATAAGTGACCAAATTTTGGCGCCAGCACCGAGACGCCGCCAGCCGGGCCCAAGATCGAGCGAGAAGGGCAGACCCCCCGGTAGCCAGCTCCGCGCACAGCGGCCCCCGCAACAAAGGGTGAGTGCTGCCTCCGGCTCGGCGGGGAAATGGCGCTTCGGCGGCTCCCCTCCCCCTCGCCGAGCTCAGTGGGGAAATGGCCGCGGTCTCCCGCCGCCCGCCCTCGGGAAAGAGGCCGCGTGGCCCCATCCTCCCCCTCCGGGCAAAGGAGTGAAGCGCCCTGAGCTCCTCTACTACCCCCCCAGACCACCTCCTCACACCCCCCCCGCGCGGGAGCCGCCTCGCCCCGACCAGCCCCCACGTCCCCCCCTAACCGAGCTGCGAGCCCCCAACCCTCCGCTAACAGCCCCTCGGCCGACGCGGGGACTCTCCCCCGCCGGCTCTGCGCTCGGGCGCTGGGCCCGTCCCGGCTCGGAGCCGCGCCCAGGCAGAGGCTGACAGTGGCCATTCGCCAGGCGGCCATAGCGCGCGCTCATGGGCCCCGGGACTCACCCAGTCGCTCTCTCTGTCTCCGCGAGGCATCTTGCTTCGCCCAGGCGCTCGCTGAGGCCGCGTCCCCGTGTTTCAAGCTGCCCTCTCGGAGAGAAGCCCTGGCTGGCCCCCCTCTCGCTCCCGCACTGGCGACACGGCAGCAGCAGTGGCAGGAGGCTGCAGCTAGCGTGTAGGCGGCGTTGTGCGCTGTGCCCCGCCGCCAGCCAGCGCGCAGCTCAGCGCTCACACCCCGCAGTAGCCGCCCCAGTCTCTGCCCCCACCCCCCTCAGATGTCGCTGCTGCTCAGTGCGCGCAGGGAGCAAGGAGGAGACGGGAAACCCGAGCCGCCGGGCACCATTGAAGTCTGTATCCTTCTCTCTTTCTCTCGCTTCCAATTTAACCTCGCCGTGAATTGGGCAGCGCCCCAAATCCCTTGCAGCTGGGCTCGTGTTTGGTGTAACTGCAGAGGTCCTGCCCCCCCGCCCCCCAACGCCGCCACCGCTGCCCGCCTTTAGCAGCCACCCCAGCTGAAGGGAGGTGGCGGCGTTGGGCGGGAGAAAAGGGAGCTGAGCCCCGGGATCTCTAGTGGGTGCCTCTCCCCCGAGGTAGGCGGAAGGTTCCTGGGCCTCAGCGTGGTGCAATGGGAGGAGAGTGGTTAGACACTGGGGCTGGGGGACAGCCTGCGGAGATGCGGAGGCTCAGCGGGCGCGTACCGTTCACTGGACAAAGCGAAGCCACCCGCACGGGGGGTGGGTTTTTTTCCGCGGTCCGCCTGGCTTAGTCTTGGAGCGCAATGGTCGTGCTTAGCGAGGGGGCAACGTGGCGCTGGGAAAGGGGACGTCGCTCTCTCTTCAGAGCGGCTGTGTGAAATGGTGGAGGGCGGCTTTGGGCAACGCACATGACTTGCCGGGGCTGGCTGTCGTGTGGCCGCAGCTGTTCCCACCCCCCACAAGGGGAAGGGGACGCAGGGCTTCCTCCTCTATGTTGGGCTGCGGCTTGGCCCTACTCCGTGTTCGCCTAGTCCCGTTAGGACACCCAGGCCTTTTATGTGCACCCACCACAGGCCTGTCGCGCAGCCTTACCCTTCATCCCTCTACCACGGGCCTTTGTTTCCCTCCTCTCATCTCCTCTCAATGGAGACAAGACGAGGTGCCCAGCAGCAGGGCCCAACCCTCGCCCTCTCCTCCCCCCCTCCGACTTGGCTACAATACCACCGCTCTGGCTGCCAGGGGATGAGAATTGGGCGGGATTGCTGAGTCAAAGGCCTCTTCTGGCCTTTAATAAAGGTTTCCCTTTGCCTTGCTCATTTTGTAGTTTGCAGGGATGGGTGGTGAAATCTGTGCCCAGAGGTGATTAGTGTGAGAAACTGTGTGGGGAAGGGGATGAGTTTGCTTCATCCAGGTCATATGTTTATATAATCTATTTAGGTTAATGAAATGTATATTTCTTAATTAAGTATTTTAGTCTTCAATATACAATGTGTGCAATTTGGCAGAGTTAATGTCTGTTTTAGCCTTAACTCTTGCCTTCTGATCCTTGTTTGCAACATTACAGTTGCTTTAACATAATCTGCAGTTTATATGTATTTCCTGCTGTGTCAGGGTTACTGGTAACTCACTACTGTATTACACTACAGATACTTAGCTGTTGCTAATTAAAATCTAACTTTTGCATCTTGAAAATGCTTTTAAATATCTCTTGGTTAACTGCTAGAATCAGAACACTTTTCCCATTGGGTTTAAGGAAATATACATCCTAATGGTTCTCCCCATCTCTCTGAAACATCTCTGCCTTATGCTGGTGGAAGGACATTCTTGTAACTCTTCATACGCAATCAGTAGCAAGAGTGATGGCTAGCATAATGGTGTGTTTGTGAGTTGACAAGGAAACTAGTAATCTACTTCTCTGGATTTAATCCACACTTGAAATGTTATGTGCAGTGAACACATTGGGGTTGGAACAAGGACCATGATTGTATTGGGATGCCTTTCTCTGAGTAATGTAAACTTCCTTTTAATTGTCATGCATTTTTCTAGTAAAAGCTCTGCAAGTCTGCAATAAAAATGGCCTCCAATAAAACTACATTGGTAAGTTCATGAGCACCTAAAATATATAAGGATTTAACCGAAGTATTTTTCTTCAAAATTATAACTTGGCATCTCCATGTAGAAGATACATCCACATCTCTCCTCCCCAGCATTATTCTGACTAAATTCTCAGATCCAGAAAGTAAGGCTAATAGAAAGGACATTAACTTTGGCTTAAATAAAACTGCCATCTTACAAACAAAACAAAAAAATGTATCTTTTTAATGGAGGCCTGTGCTCCATTTCAGCTCTCTGATTTAAAGTGAAAATTGTTTAATAACCTTTAACAGAAAACACTTTGAATTTTTTAGCCTCCTTTCAGCACCCCATGTAATTCATTGTGTATTTAAAAAGGGCAAAAACATATTCATTTTAACTTCTCCCTAGCCGTTCAGGGAAAAATGATTGCAACTACAGGCACAGTACAGGATGCGACAGGGCATAATTAATATTGCTGTTGGAACTATTACTAGTAAATAACAATTCGCTTGGATTTCATAGGAGCGGAGATTATTAAATGTCTCCCCCACCTGGACCATTGTAACAGGGCTTTGACAGATATCAAGTTACTGTGAAACTTCTTGATATTAAATTATGAGCCAAAAAACTCTGAAATTAAGGACAAATGGATGTCACAGTAGTTGCTCTAATATTCATTTAACTAATGGCAGTATATGTTGGTAAAGGACAGAAGTGCAGAAGCCTGGTGCTAGGTTTACTTACTGGGAAAATAATAGGCAAACAGATTTTTATATAGCCTAAATGTGGGGAAGGAGGGGAAATTGTGTGCTCTTGTGACATTTACTTAAAAAAAGCTTGCTATTAAACTTATTACTAGTCAGTAAGTACTAATTTATCCCATATCCAGACAAATTAAATACTAATATCACCTCCTGTCCCTTAACTGCCTTATTATTTTTCACTGGACTCCAACAGTGTAAGCAATAACATTGCAAACACTTTATCAAGCTTCAGACCTTCCATTAGAAGTTAGTGCCCCAACTCTCTAACATAAGTGAGGGTAAGATCAGGCCCGAAATGCTCAGAGGAGGGGAAGAGAACCTATTAATGCAGTCAATATTTTTTTAGGAAGTTAGCTGCACAGGTCAGGAAAATCAGTTAATGGTTCCCATAGGAACCATGCTTCTCCCAATGTATGAAGAGGACAGTTAGTGTTTCTCTTGAAACTGTAACTTTGATGTTTCTGACTTTTGTATATCTGAACCATCTACCATAATGCTACATTAATGTAATAATCTTTCACTTGTATAAAATTAAAAAGGTGAGTGATCATACACTGAAGGTAATATGTGTGTGCATACTTTTTATGTGAATTTTGAATTGGGAAAGAGAAGCGAAGTACACTTTATTTGAACATGCAACATTAAAATGCCCAGGATATGGTGTTCTCCGATATGGGACTCAGAAAAAGGGGTCAAATGGGTCTAGTGAC